ATAGTAAATAAAGGTTATTGAAGGTTCCCCGCTCTCCAAAGCCCGGAAACCGCTAGCACGAGAGAAAGAGCGGTTCGTTATTTGAAACGGACGGCACAGTCTGAAAGGGGAAAAGGAGGGACCCTTAATGGGGACCCCTACCCTATAATGGGCTATATAAGGGGTATATAATAGCTATATTAAGGGTATATACCTAGGGGTCCTTCTTGTCCCTCCTTTTACCCTTGGACAGTCATCAATGACGTGCTGGAGCCCTATGTCGAGAACCCTACTGCAGTAACGAGGCGAGCGGCCCACGATTCGGCTGAATAACTCAACTTGCAAATCTAGTATTTAGGGCCAAGCCTTTCTAAGGCTTAGGATTTAGCTCGTAAGTGCGATGCAGGCATTTTCGGATCTCTTGTTGGATCCATCTCCGCACTCGCCCAAGGGGCCATGCCAACGAGATCAGACCACGGCATCGTCGCGGAGATCTACGGCTCGCGTATACTTACAATATCTGGAACACATGTGTAGGATGGTCAAAGGCCACCCTTTCAAACGGGCAAACAATTTCTAGAGCATGCTAGGCTTCTCCTGAAGCGCAGTGAAGGGAGGGGTCCGGCCCAGGCGACACAGTTCGGCAATCATCATCCAGTCCTAGTGCCCCCCAATAAGTACTGCCAATATGACACGACGAGGACGACTGCTGCTACTACTACTTCTACTGCTACTACGACTCCTACTCCTACTCCTACTTCTACTTCTACTTCTACTTCTACTTCTGCTACTACTACGACTACGACGACTACGACGACTACGACGACTACTACTACTACTACTGCTACTACTACTACGCGGTACGACTACGACTACGACGACGACGACTACTACTACTACTACTGCATTAATTCCTACTCCGTCTGCGCTGGATGCGACTGCTTGCTCCAGCTACTTCTGCCGCAGTGGCTACTGCTGCGATAACTACTGCTGATACTACACTTGCTCATACGATAGCTAGTGCTGAGTGCTACTTAGTAGCTAGCATGATGTTCCGCTACGACAAAGGAAACTCGCAGCTATCGATACTTCCTTCACGTGCTGATGGAATGCGAGAAGCGCCTCCCCATCACTGCATGCCTCAGGCACCCCATCAGCGAGTGCTCATGACGTCTTAAATCCTTGTCCTCCAACCTGCACACGTGGCGAACTACTCTTCAGGTTCTGAGCAGGGCGGGCCTTCAGTCTCGGGACTTGTGGTGGGGTCGAATTTAACCACCAATCTATTTCCTATTGTTTTGTAGAGGAACCAGAAACTGTTAAAGGTGTTCTTTCTCGAAACAGTGTGGTGCACTCTACGGGGCGTTTACATTGGGATGAATGAGTAATGGTCCCCAGTCAGTGGTCCTGGCAGCTTTGGTTGCGGCCGTGGTCGTGGTGCTGGTCGCCATAATGGTCCTCGTTGCGGGTTTTGTCGTGGTCGTCGTGGGGTCCTGGTGGTCCTGGTCTTCTCGGTCGTCGTGTTCCTCGTGGTCGCGGTGGTCGTCGTGATGCTCGTGGTCGTTATGGTGTGTGTGTGTGTGTGTGTGTGTGTGTGTGTGTGTGTGTGTGTGTGTGTGTGTGTGTGTGTGTGTGTGTGTGTGTGTGTGTGCGCGCGCATGGCGCGTGGTCGTTTGACCTTTAAAGCTGTGGTCATCTTGGATTCCTCTCTGGTGCAACCCTCTCTTCCAGTCAGGGCCCTCCCTTATTTCGAGAACCGTAATGATAGCACCACATAGACCCGAAACAGTCAATACCCCAGGGAGGACCACTGGAGGACCACACCAGGGCCGCATTTCCAGACGAGACACCAAACCCGCGTATACGAGATGGAGGTCGAGAGGGTAAAATTAGAGTAGGGCTGTCAGGCTCTTCTTGGAGCACGGTTAGCAGTTGACAATGAGACCGTGGTGGAGGCCAGCCTTGCACGCTCACAGCTTCGACCTGATCTGCTCACTTGCAACGTAAGCACCTGTCAATATCAACACACGGTTTGTGATACAAACCACTGTAAAATTTCGGTTGAGCCCCACAGAATCCGCATAAACCCCTGAACCCTCACACCCTCACACCGAAGCGCTTAATATAATAATTAGAATAGGGCTTTGGGGCCTATTATACTATAGCTATAATAAGGAGCCCCCCAAAATAGTACAGGTAATTATTTAGGCCCCTCTATTAACCCCAAATCGCGACTCCGAACACTCCCTCCCACATCCGCCTCCTGGATCCCGTGGTCGACGACGGCCTGAAGAAGCTCAAGCCTTCAGAGGGAAGAGGTTCGGAGGGCGGACTTCAAGCAGCATATTGTAGTACTGTAGTGTTATTGTGGGAGTGTTATGAAACTTGCAGTGGAAAAAATAGTATAGTAGTATACAGTATACGGTATATGTAATGCCTAAGAGCCAAGCCCTGAAGCCTGAACCGCAAGTCCTCTTTGAAAGCCTTATAGTTAAACCTTATAGACCCTGATAACAAAACTGAAGGTTGTGGTAGAGTGCAGTACTTAAAGGCTCACGGGACTTAGTGAGTAAGGTTATAAGTAGGTTATAATTAGGATAACCCCACTTAGGGGACTTAAAACCCCAATTATAACCTACTTACTAAGTCCCATGATCCTCTAAGTAGGCCCTCAAGGCTGACGCCCACGGTCTAGGCTTAAGGAGTACGCTTCTGGAGCCTTGGGCTTTCGGTGTAGAGTTCAGAGGGGCCTTGACTCGGGCCTTGGGATGCTTGCAAACATACTATTATTACTATTACTGGTATTATTACTACTATTATTATTACTATTATTATGACTATTATTACTATTATCATGACTATTACTACTATTATTGTTACTACTAAGCACCTTGAAGTCAAGTCAGGCTTGTTCGCTCGGATCTTGGGCTGGTAGAGACTTAGCTGCGTTGCTTTGCTTAGGAGTTCGGGAGAACAGCTGAAGCAAGCCTTGCACATCGTCGTATGAAGGCTTTCGGTTTTTGACGTCTGTGTGCTGTGGTTCTGAGCGAAGACTCCTCCTCCTCCTCCTGCGCCTCTTCCTCTTCCTCTTCCTCTTCCTCCGCCTCCTCCTCGTCCGCCTCTTCCTCTTCCTCTTCCTCTTCCTCTTCCTCTTACTACTACTACTACTACTACTACTACTACTACTACTGCTACTACTACTGCTACTGCTACTGCTACTGCTACTGCTACTGCTACTGCTACTGCTACTGCTACTGCTACTACGACGACGACTACGACTAGGACGACTGCCACTACAACTACTCCTTGAGCTTTGATCCTCAACCCTAAACCCTTCAACCTAACGGCCCCAAAACTCGAAGCCGACCACAAAAACAATCCACAAACCCACGGCCCCCAGACGTCCAACGCCCCGAAAACCCCAAAGCCCTGAACTCCGGGGCTCCAACTCGAAGCTCTTCGATGTCGGCGGCTAAGGCCTCGCAGTGAGGGAGCTGAGGGTCGCAAGGAGCAAGCCTGCTACGGTTCTTAGTTGCTGAGTTCATAAGCCCCCCCAAAGTGTACACTTTTAGTTTCATCGTGGGCAATACTATCCCGAAAAGTGTAAAGTGTATCCACTCAGCTACCAAGGGTTTAAAGAATGGCCGTTGGGCCTTTGGGGGCCTTCGGGGGTGTCGGGCTCAGGGGTGAGAGAGAAAGCCAGTGGACCGAATGAGATGCTTGTTGCTATGGCTGCTTGAACACAATTAACATGCGAGTGGCCAGCGATGTTACCAGCCTTCCTATTCAGAATCAAGAATCAATCAATAGTCCTTCTAACTGTCCTTCTTGTGACGGCGACAAAGAGGGTGGCGTTGACGATAAGGAAGAGGAAGATGAAGCTGATGATGATGATGATGGCAGTGACGACGACGAATAGGACAGTGATGGAAGTGGCCGTGGCCGACGCAGTCGCGGTGCTGGTGCTGCTGGCGCTGGCCCTTGTGGTGGCGGTGGCGGCCGGGGTGGTGTTGGTGCTGCTGGTGCTGCTGGTGCTGCTGGTGGTGCCGGTGGTGCCGGTGGTGCCGGTGGTGCTGGTGGTGCTGGTGGTCCTGGGTGCGGTTGGTGGTGATGTTGGTGTGATATTGCTGATGAAGATGCCATGGACACGATGTGGCTGGTGATGGTGAGATTTTGATGCCGATGCTGATGATGATAATTATGATCATCATCCCCACTATCATGCTGACCCTGGGCCTGTGTGTGACGATGATGATGCCGAATTGCTGCTGGTTGTGTATCCGCAATGTGGCTGTTGTCGTGAACATCTGATCTAAACCCTTAGCACCTACATGATCATCGTGGATATGGCCCTGTTTGTCTCACTATTCCCAGCATTCTGACTATTCTGCGCTCCATCCTTACTAAGAGGATAATCACTGCCATCGTCCTGTACTTGTAAATATCACCATTCTGCGTCCCTTCCTGTGATCATTGATATCAACGCGCTTGCCTTGCAACCAATACTTTTCACAGGTAAACCAGTATTGAAGGCGGAAGGCAGGTGCCAAGTTGCAAAGCCGCTGACTTTTGGCTTTTGCGTCGCATGTCCACGGAGCGGGGCAGGAAAAGCACGTCATACTCTGAATGTTGCAGTCTACGGCCAAATGCCCTGAACTAAACCTAGAGACAAGTTTCCTGCCTTGCTAAGGAAACGGAAACATGCTGCACACTCTCTTGGCATGCCCGACTTGTTCAAGGCTGATGCGAGGGTGAGGGGTCCCTCTCCTGCTGAATGGCCACGTTCAAACTGGTGGATTCCACCGAACAAATGGGATGCCTTCCCAAAGGCCCGCTTATGAAATTGCTACAGTTTGTTTCATAACATTGTTGCTTTTGCGAGGAATCTTCCCATGAATGCTAGTCTCCCTGTCCATTGATGGTATGTCTGCCGTCCTTGTTAAGACTATGGATCTCAGTCTGACAAATGTTGGAGCAGAGATGATACTTGCATGATGTGCTCAGCAATGCAACGCATCTGCTCACACGACGATGGGGACCTCCTTGGCGTCACCTCATCAAGGCTTAGGGTTCGGGGTTTAGGGTTTAGGTTTTACGGTTTGGGGCTTAGGGTTTGGGCTGCAAGAGCAAGAGCCCCAGAAGTCTCCGACGGAAAACTGCAGGAAAAGTCCGCTCCGCAGCCTACTTCATAACCACTTGAAGCTCAGGCTTCCTTTTTGATTCATTTTTTGCGACGAAGGCCCGGCAGCTCTCAGCAAAAATGCCCACCAACAAACAACAAAACCTTGCTGCAATCAGACAGGCCCTTTCTTTCGTTTCGACATAAGCCCTCGCAGACTTGCACGTAACCTAAACAAGGCAAGCCGCTAAGTGGTGTGAGGAGGCCGATGTAGATCCCACCCATCACGGGGCGAGCGCGGAAGCCCCTTTGCAGGGATCCAAACTTGAATGGAGCGAGGGGTCGAAAACCAAAACCAGTGTTTAACGAGTGTAAGAAACCATATCATAGCACCTTTGGCGATAGCCGAAGCAATAATAGTGTACTTGCGAAAATGGCACAGCGGCAGCAGTAGTAGTAGTGGTAGTAGTAGTAGTAGTAGTAGTAGTAGTAGTAGTAGTCGTAGTAGTGGTAGCAGTGGCAGTAGTAGTAGTAGTAGTAGTAGCAGCAGCAGTAGCAGCAGCAGTAGCAGTAGCAGTAGCAGTAGCAGTAGCAGTAGCAGTAGCAGTAGCAGTAGCAGTAGCAGTAGCAGTAGCAGTAGCAACAGCAGTACACAAGACAATTCGTCACAACCCCCGGCTTCATGTGGCCGGTGATGGTGTCGTACCAATCCTCGGATGTCTCTCTCTGCTTGCTTCCACTTGATCATTGCTTCCCGGCTTCATGTCGGACAGTGGCTGCAGGCTTGAAAGTGGCCTAATTAGCCACATTTACCATGCAAGGATCGAGCAAAGCCACACGTGGCCCTCAGAGAGCATGTGCTAGGCTATGAGGCCACCAAACAAGCCGATTCGTAAAACCTGATCCACAGCGTTCTCTCAGAGCCGCTTTCTTAAATAAGAGTAGGAAGTTTCCGAAAGATCGATGACACACGACCAAATCAATAGGCAGGAACGCCGAAAGATTGGAGCCCTAATGATCGGAATTGGAAATTGTGGTATAGTACTTTAGGGTTTAGGGCTAAGGGTGTAGGGTAGGGTTTAGGGTTTAGGGCTTAGGTTTATATAGTACAGTATAGAAAGGAACGCTCTGGACTCTGGATTTAAGTTGGTAATTGCTTGCTTAGGCTTCAACTTGTACTGCAAGCACAAGCACAAGCAGCAGCAGCAGCAGCAGCAGCAGCAGCAGCAGCAGCCGCAGAAGCACCAGAATCAGCAACAGCAACGGAGGTCAAGACAGCAACCCAACTTAAAATCCTACTAGTTTGCTGCTGCTGCTGCTGCTGCTTCTCGCCGTCCTCCTTGTCCTCCTACTACTGCTGCTACTACTGCTACTATTGGTACTACTGGTACTACTGGTAGTGACTGGTACTAGTGGTGCTACTGGTACTGCGACTGCTACTGCTTCTGCTATTGCTCGTTGTGCAGCTGAAGGTCCGTTAGCGGAGCACGGTCCGGGGTGGAGGCTGCGAATCTCCATAGGTCGTCAATGGCCGCCGTGAAATGTTCCTGCTTTACGTAATTGAAGGGCCTTACCGAATAACTTCATTCGGGTTTTAGGGTAGGATATGCGGTGCTTAAAATACAGGAATTATACAGGGATGCTATTCCTTCTTTCAACTTATTCAGACCCGTATACTGGTTGGAAAAAAGGGCCGTAGGGCCTTGTTGGGGCTTGGAGCCACTAATGGCTGGTATATGCAGTTCGGCTCATGTCTTCGTTTGTTGGGCTCAACTACGTGGATGAGAAGGTCAATTCATGCCTTTGGGCAAAGGGATTCGGGTTTCAGCGCTTTGCCTCAAGCCTCGACCTTGAGCGTTGCTGCAGGGTTTCGGATGTTGAAGCCTCTGCTTCGGGTATTCTTCTGATTGTTGACTTGCAATACGGCTCGAGCTGACTGCTCGAAGGGAGTAGTGATCAGAGCTTCAGGATTAATAGCATTACAGCGTACATGCGACGCAGCAAGCCCAAGAATAGAAGAGACATGCGAGCCCTTCTTTGACGACAATGCCTCCTGCATGCTGCACCGTAAGCTTATGCTGATGCTGGCTTGCAAAAGCTTTCGTGTGGGAGTAGAGTTTGTGTGCATTCTGCTGCTGTATGTAAGGAAGGTTTCAGGTTCAAGGGCATTATTCTACCAATGCGTACACCGTGCAGCAACACACTATCGAGCACAAGGGAGGCTACAGGCGAATCCGGTTAAGCTTGACCACTAGATATGCTTGCGCAAGGCATGCCTGCTTGTAGAAAGCCGCCGACCACGTGGACCAGTCAGCCTTTGTGTAGTTGTGACCTCAACAAGAAAGCCACTGCGCTCTGGGAGTTTCCACTTTCTTGAGCTCTGAGAGCCTTTACCCAACACTGCTTCGAAAGATGAGTGAGCGCGACCGAAACCTTGCGCTTCCGCTTCGACCTCCTCAACATCGAGACTCTGGACAGGAAATCCCCACAGTAGAAAGCGAACGGTAAATGTCTGGAGCTTTGAACCCCTCTCTCCCCCAGGAGACTAAGCCCACTCTCAGCCGAAAGGAGGCCTGAATCTCAAACCCTGAGCCCTAAATCCTTTAAAGCCTAAACCCTAAACCCTAAATCCTTTAAAGCCCGGGTGGCGATCGTCCAGCGGAATGCCGTAGCTCTGTCCTTGGGTTTCAGGCTCAGGGGGAGAGGCGAAGGCTTGAGTCTCACTGGTTCCAAGGCTTCAGGATGGACTTTAGGGTTTAGGGTTTAGTGGGTAGTGGGTTTAGGGTTTAGGGTTTGGTGGGTTTAGGGTTTAAGGTTTAGTGGTTTAAGTTCAGGGTTTAGTGGGTAGTGGGTTTAGGGTTTAGGGCTTGGTGGGTTTAGGGTTTAGGGTTTAGTGGGTTAAGTTCAGGGTTTGGTGGGTAGTGGGTTTAGGGTTTAGGGCTTGGTGGGTTTAGGGTTTAGGGTTTAGTGGGTTAAGTTTAGGGTTTGGTGGGTAGTGGGTTTTGGGTTTAGGGCTTGGTGGGTTTAGGGTTTAGGGTTTAGTGGGTTAAGTTCAGGGTTTGGTGGGTAGTGGGTTTTGGGTTTAGGGTTTGGTGGGCTTAGGGTTTAGGGTTTAGTGGGTTAAGTTCAGGGTTTGGTGGGTAGTGGATTTTGGGTTTAGGGTTTGGTGGGCTTAGGGTTTAGGGTTTAGTTGGTTAAGTTCAGGGTTTGGTGGGTAGTGGGTTTTGGGTTTAGGGCTTGGTGGGTTTAGAGTTTAGGGTTTAGTGGGTTAAGTTCAGGGTTTGGTGGGTAGTGGGTTTTGGGTTTGGGGTTTGGTGGGTTTAGGGTTTAGGGTTTAGTGGGTTAAGTTTAGGGTTTAGTGGGTAGTGGGTTTAGGGTTTAGGGTTTAGTGCGTTAAGTTTAGGGTTTAGTGGGTAGTGGGTTTAGGGTTTAGGGTTTAGTGGGTTAAGTTTAGGGTTTAGTGGGTAGTGGGATTAAGGTTTAGTGGGTTTAGTGGGTTTAGGGTTTAGTGAGTTTAGGGTTCAGGGTTCAGGGTTTGGTGGGTTTAGGGTTTGGGGTTTAGTGGGTTAAGGGTTTGGTGGGTTTAGGGTTTAGGGTTCAGTGCGTTAAGGGTTTGGTGGGTTTAGGGTTTGGGGCTTAGCGGGTTAAGGGTTTAGCGGTTTCCAGAAAATCATACGTAAGAGCCTCAAGATTCAGCTAAGGCTTTGCGGAGCATTCAGTCATAAGAGCCTCAACAACTAAAGATGCTTTGCTGTAGCTTTTAATTCCTGGACCATGCGAAAGCCCTACATGTCTCTTCAGGCCGGAGCCATTGTACTATAATCATAATAAGGGACCCCCAAAACAGCATTGGCAATTATTTAGGCCCCTACAAAACCCTAAACCCTAAACCCTAAACCCTAAAGGCCCTAAACCCTACCTAAACCCTAAACCCCAAACCCTAAACCCTAAACCCCTAAACCCTCCACCAGAAGATGGTTGCTCCTCCGGGACCCCAAAGGCCCTCCTCCGGAAAAATGGAGGATGCAAACCAAAACCCGGGGCCCTCGGCCTAGATCGTGGGATCCTTAGGAAAGGGACGGGCGAAAAGAGGCCCCGAAATATCAGAAACCCACAACCCACCATGCGAGGATGAGAGTCGACGTGTTCCGTACTCGATGGCCTCCTTCTCGAAAACCTGATAGCTCTGGGCTTGTGAACGACCCCGGATCCTAATGCGGCTACGGTTTTCGGGCGTTGCAGTTCTTATGGGTCTGAGGGTTAAGGCTCGTGGGTTTCTCCTCTTTTCGATCGGCTCGGGGCCTACATGCTTAGAATGGGGATTTGGGGCCCATTCTGCTATAGTTATGATAAGAAAATCCCAAATAGTATAGGTAATTATTGTTGCGCCTATAGTATAGTACTGCTTGCAACGCTTGGCAGGGCAAGGCTGTGCATGTAAGGCCCATCTGCTCAGAGCGATGCCCCAATCCGCGAAACCATAAAACACGAAATTGCGAAGATCCCTGAACCCCGAAATCTATGCGCCAAGAACCTGATCGCCCCAACATCCTTAAGTTGGCACCCTACATCCTCCGCGGCAGAGAGCAGAAACCACAAACCGCCAGTCCTGACTGAACAAGTGTAGTACTTCCAAATTAAACCTGGGCGTTTAGCTTCTGTAAGACTCCTCTGGCAGCACCCAGTATTTTTGAGAGCCCCGAAGTACTGTGTTCAAGCTGCGGAAAGCAGCTTACCCTAAACCCTAAACCCTTCTACAACTCAAAGGGGAATAGGAGGGACCCTTAATGGGGACCCCTACCCTATAATGGGCTATATAATGGATATATAATAGCTATATTAAGGGTATATACCTAGGGGTCCTTAATAGGGGTCCCTCCTTTTACCCTTGGAACAAGCATCCCGGGGCTGAAGGCTGGGAGATGATCCGATGAGCTCTTCCAGGCTTCTTGGGGCCAGAGGCCTCGGAATGAGGGGGGGCTGCCACCCAAAAGCAACAAATCCTAAACCCCCTACCCTAAACTCATCCCGAAATCCTAAACCCTAATCCGCTTAAACCTAAACATACTACACTATATAGACATAAACCCAAACCGCGCGCAGGCTGCCTTTCGAAAACCTCCCAAAGCTCCCCTGGAAACTTCTTTTAGCAAAGCTGAGGTTGCTGCACTGTCCGGGAAGAGGCCTCAAAGCGTTCACGCAGACCAAAAAGGTGCCTAAATAATTACCTGCAGTATTGCACTATTTTGGGGGGTTTCCTTATTGCTTATTGTAACTATAGGATAACATACCCCCAAACCCTATTAAAAACCCGGGTAACCCCGTCCAAGCCCCTTCATTCGGCAAAGTTTGCACATGGAGGCTGCGCCCCCAAACCCCCGCTTTCTTTACGCTGCAATATCTGCCGAATACCAAAAGGAAGAAGCCACACGTCTTCGCTTCAGGGGTACAACCCGATGAAAACAAAGGGAACAAAGTTGAAAACCGAGGTTAAAGTTTGAGAAGACAATCGAAACAACTTCTCCAACAAACAAGAATGACAAAGACACACGTTTTCGCTTTAGAGTGGCAAAAAGTACACCAAACAAACAGAAAAATCACTGAAAACAAAGATTAAGGTTCAACCGCACATCTTCTCCGGCAAACAACAAGGAAGAAGCCACGAGTCGATGTACAACGCAAAGAAAAAAGTAAAATCACTGAAAAAATGGCTCAAGTTTGAGGAAACAATCGAAGCGTCTTGTCCAACCGACAAGAACAACTCAGCCACAAGTCTTCGCTTTAGAGGATGGAAAGCGAAGAAAACAAAGTGAAACATCACTGAAAACAAAAAATGACATGCAGAAAACCATCGCAAAAACACCGAACAATTTTGAACCTTGGTTAAAATCTAGGTTCGAACCCAGGTTTGTTCAACCTCTGTTACTCATCTTTTCGAGAGAGAGAGAGAGAGAGAGAGAGAGAGAGAGAGAGAGAGAGAGAGAGAGAGAGAGAGTGGGAGAGAGAAGCCTACTTCTTTGCTCAGCCCGCAAGTGGGGCGGGTGGGGAGGTCGGGTCCAAGCATGAAGCGAGGGTGCCTCAGCAAATGAATCCTTTAGTCTAGTCGTAATTATAGTCGGCTACAGTTAAAGTTGCGCAGTGTCAGGGAATTACTCATTCAGTACTGTGAGGCGGTTGGCATGTTTACCTAGGTATGTCAACATGACACGTGGGAATGCCAAGCAGGATGCACACCTATAGCAGCATCACACGGACACCGAGTAGGTCCTCGAAGAAGGCTCAATAATAATAATAATAATAATAATAATAATAATAATAATAAATAATAATAATAACAATATTAATGATAATAATAATCACAGTAATAATAGGACGAATCATAATAGTATTACTAATTATAATATAGTAATGTTTGAAAATCACATAGTACTAATACTATCAATAATAATGCTAATAACAATAGCAAGTGTCGAAGGAGTCCAAGCACTCTACAAAACACGAAGCCTTGTGTGGACTGAAAGTGTCCAACACCAATGGTAGCGTAAGCAAGCAACGAAGCAAGGCGAGACTTGGTCGCGAAGCAGCACAGATCGTGATAAACCTAAATTGCACACACCATCTCCACCGTTCGCAGTAGCAGAAAGTCCATCGCGTCACCGAGACAACCCATCATCGTCAACAACAGCAGCACCATGTCAATAATATTAACGATACTAGTAACTAATACAGTGATAACAATTTGATATCACGAACCTTTCATCATACTACTGTAGTAATGATACTAGTAGCAGTTTAGTCATCATCATCCGCAGCGGCAGCACCCTGCCTGCGCCGCGTAAACAGCAATGCAGGTCAAGTGCCGCAACATGCAGAAGTAGCTACGGTGAGGGCAGAGACTTGTTGCATTTTGTACAAAGACGAGCCGCCTTGGAGGTTCAGCACCTTCTGCCATACCAGATTGTACTTCCTCGGCTGCCAGTAAGAGATATGGGAGTCTCCGAAACTAGGGGACCCTAATATAGTACCCCAAGTAGTAGGATCCGGATTATAAGGACCCCAAATCAGGCACCCCTTTTTTTGGACACCCCCATATCCAAGTTGCTGTTTTTCCCGGCATAGGTGATCAGGCTTCGTATCCTGGGGTGCCATAAGGGATCCTTTTCAGGGATCTATAGAGCTCCTTTAAAGGATTCCTTTAAGGCTACTATGGGGCTCTATAACAGGGATAGAAGTTCCGAACTCTTGCATATCGAATGCCGAAGCAACACAAACTACCGGAATTGCTCGCTTGGCATCTGGGACCACGTTCCAGGAAGATCATACTGCCTTCGGAAATGGTCCCCTGGCAAGCACAGTCAGTCGTAGTCGCACAGGTCTCAGCTCTATATCGCCTGGTTCCACTCATGTTGCTGGCAGATGCTCATCATCACACATCGCTTACGAGCATTGAAAGCAGAAAAACTAGCAACAAGAATTCAATACCACCAATTACCGATGGTCATGTGAGGCTGCTGCCACGGATTTGTCGACGGGCTGTAACTTCTTCGGCCCTGATTTGTGGTTCAGGGTTCGGCTAAGGGACGGGAGCTTTCCTTCAAACTTCGACTCCAAGACATGGGTCAAAAACCCCGGCAATCACCATCCAAGCCCTACATTGCATGAACCGGAAACCCCCCCACCATCTACCACGAAACCGGAACCGGAAAGCGCTCCACCCTAAAGCACCCCACGCACAACGATGCCGGAAAGGCCGTCAGCTGCTCCATGCAGCCAGTCGTTGACGAAGCCCTGACCCAAGATTACTGGACTAGGGGCTGTGAGTGGGACCTGGACCTTGACCCCGGACCCCGAAACCGACGGCCCTTACAAGTAAAGCCTAAACCCCTCAAGTGGCAAGCTCCTAAAGACACAAAGCACTAATTAGCCTAAACCCCTAAACCCCTAATATCTAAAGCCCTAAACCCCTAAACTCACAAAGCCCCAAATCCTATGCCCCCAGTCGTCATCGGCTTGACTCGGTTCGCCTGCGCGAGCTTCTGGTACTTCGCCGACTCGGTCTCCTGCAGCCCGAAAAGCACGCGGATCACCCCAAAAACTTTCCCCACGAAAGGCGGGCCAGAAGATTGTATGACAACTTCAAGTACGGCTGCCATCATGCTGTATACGTCCGCAGATGTAAAGGGCCAGGGTTTCAGAACTTGAATACCAGAGCCGACAATTAACCTCAATCAGCCCGGCCGACGACAACAGCAAGGAGACCATGAACTATTTTGGTGACGATTGCGATGGTGACGATAAAGATGGCGATGATGATAGTGATGGGGCCGATGATGGGGATGCGGGAAACACGACACTGACAATGAGAGTGATTCGGACCGGAATGAGAATGAAGCTGATGGTGACCATCATGGTCCTCATCATCATCATCATCATCATCGTCGTCATCGTCATCATCATCATGAAGACGGTGGTGTGGCAATTGCCGCATGATTTGGATGACCCTGATCATGTTGATGATGCAGCCGCCGCTCATGCCACACCGGGATGACAACCACGGTGAACAGGACCATGACGCTAAACCCTGCACCCTAAACCCAGCGCTGGTGTTACCATCACCAGGCCAACCATGCTACTGAATATGCTCAGCATCTCTTCTTCGTGATTCCTGTTCTGCAGGCGCCCTAAACCCTAAACCCTAAGGCCGCCTGCCCCGACAGCTTGAGCAGCTCTGCGTAGGCCGCCAGGGCGACGATGCCCTTCCCAGCCTGGGCAGGTGTTGGGGGGCTCAGGGTTTCAAGTTCAGCTCTCGATTGAGGCCGCAGGGCTCCTTCTCAGGGCTGGGTACCCTAGCCCAACAAAACGCCAACCTTTTCAATTATGGTTGGGTTATATAAACCCGAAAACTCCAGCAGGTTAAAGGTTACTTACTCACCTACTAAGCCTCAGTCAGCATTCGAACTCCAAATTCGATGATTTGGGTGCACTGGGGCCCATTATACTGTAACTATACTCAGGAACCCCCCAAAAGTAGTATATCTGTTCTGTTCTGTGTCGGACTCTCGTGCCTTCGGTAAGGCGCGTCCCAAATTTATTCATTGATAAGACCCCTATGGCGTGGCGTATGGCCTTGAGCTTGGGTCGAAGCTTCGGCTTCGAGGTCTTTAGAGCTCAGGGCCTAGGACTAGTTCGGGATTCGAGGGCTTGAGGGTTTAGGGTTTAGAGTTTAGGGTTTAGGGTTCTAGGGTTTAGGGTTTAGTGTTTAGAATTCAGAACTTCATGGGTTTGGCTGAAAGGACTGCGGGCTGTGAACCAACGTCTTTCTGCTGCCCGGCTGGGCAGTGAGAGTTACTGCCACAGTATAGCTACCAGTACCATTTGTCTACGATCGCCATGAAGGACCATTGCAGCTTCGTTGCTGTCACTACTCAGCTCATCCTGAATCGAAGGCTCCCACATCCCCCAATTTTTTGTAAGGACACTGCCACGGCTTGTCCATGCCTCACATCGCACAAGGAATTCGCGAACCCTCTCGTCGGAATCACTGCAAACCCTCGTCGTCTCGTGCAGGTTACAGCCGACTCGCAGTGACCGCATCACAACATCCAATACTGACCACATCCGTCTGTGGGTAGAACAGTAGCCACTCATCGATCGTTACAGGGCACGGTGCGCCGTTTCGTAGGCACCGAGAAACGTAACCGTCCTCAATAGCGCAGACCTTGCTTTTGCTTAGCCCTCCTCCGAAAGTCTGCCAGGAGCTGTCATCTGGCGTGCACCCGCGCAGAGTCTCCGCGGGTGATTGCAGCTGACAGCCCCGGGAATTGATGCTGCTCGGAGGATCATGGGACTTGGTAAGTATGGTTATAAGTACCCTAAGTGGGGATATAAGTGTTTACAAGCATAGTTACCTTAACTATAACCCTAGTTACTAAGTCCCATGATCCTATAAGTGTCAGCCGAACGATTCTCTGCTTCCTTGCGGTGATTCACGATGACACCGTGACAAGGCTCTGCGAGATGCCGGGATACCGCTCGCATGGGTACATACACTCATCAACGAAAATGCTCGCTTTTTTTCAATGCTTTCTCTCTGAAGTGCCTCCCAGCATGGGCCTACAGAAAGAAAAGCGTCCGCGTGGCACTCGTCAAGAATGAAAGTGCAGCAACCTGGAGTTCACTGTCGGACCCTGTTCGGAAGGGATCCGCACAGCGTTTGGACCGTTGTAGTACATAAGGCAGAGCCGGTTTGTGAGGTTCTCGATCAGCTGCAAGGGTGATTCAGCTCGATTGATCAATACCATATAGTGCGTTGGGACAGCGCTCCCTTTAGCAATGGCCTGGCTGAGCAAGAAGAACCCGAGAGTGGGACCAGGACAAATTGCAGGATCATCCACAACAGCACCTGGCTCAGGCTTTCTGATGTTCTCCTTAGTCATCCCTGAAGATCCGCATGTCAGTCTTCCTTGCGATGCCGACAATCACAAGTTTGGGTGCGTAGCCTTTCTGAAACTTGGCAGCCGCGTTCACTACTTGCACCAGCGCTTGCATCTCTATGGCATCAACCAGGGGCCATTCCTCCTGGTTCCCCGATGCACGGTACACAACAATGGTTTCCGGCAGGATGCCATCATTGCAGTCCATGAAAGCATTGAGTGCATCACGGAAGAGGTGCCGCAGTTCAACTGACAAGCTGGTCCTCCACCGCTGCACCGATGGAGTAGTACTGAAAGAATACTTGTCGAAAGTCGCAGAGATCCCGAGCCATCCCGAGCCATCGGGCCCCTTCGGAGGTGAGATAGACATCAACGCCAAAGATCATGAAAGGACGCTTCCTAAAAGAATCCGTGAAGGCAGCATCCTCTGAATCCTTGGGGATGATTTGCCACAAGGGCCCACAGAACTTCGCGTTGATCTGCTGGACCACCTTGTGGAGGATAGAGCCGATGGACTGGTCCCTGCGCACAACCTGCGAGAGGCAAGGATGTCGGTCGCATGCCATTTGCTTGAAGCAATGGTACACCTTCCTCACGTCCTTGTTCGGGATGAGCAGCATCATCAGCTGGGTGCCCGGGTGAATGTACTCCTCGATCCTTGACTGCAGTTCCCCGTGTTGGTCATTGCAGCAAGCCTTCTTTGGCTCCTCCAGCTTGCAGCCGAATAGCATAGATCTTCTTTTCATTGAAATTGAAGAACCTGCACAGTCTCTAGCTGCTTTGCTTCCACCTCGAGAGTCTCTGTAGGTGGTCCCAACTGACAGCCCCAGGCATTGAGTGCTCTGGAATGTCGCAAAGAACGTTCCAACGCCGACTCAGCTGGGATCTCCAACAAGCCGCCCAGTTCTTCAGTCAATTCATCCTCCATTTCCATGCTGTGCCTCACGATAACATGGTGCCTCTGCTGTGAGGAGAGACTTTGATCTGCTTCAAGACCTCTCTCAGGGGGCTCTCCTCCTGGCGCATCTCGTCTGTCACCAAACTCTGGCAGCAAGAAGCCCTTTCTTCGTTGGATAAACTTCCAGGTGCTACAGACACACAGATTCGCAGCCATTCAGACCTGATTTCCGGAACTGTCCGGAAGATTTCTGTTCCTTCCATGGCACCGTCAGGACTTCCACAGTATTCTGGGCACTGGCCGGCTTGTGCAAGACATCCAGTTGCAGTAAGAGCGCAGCACTACCCAGCCAGATGATAGTGTAATATAATAATGTAGTTTTATGATAGACGATAATCCTACATGATATTATCATATTACAGTATGATATTGGCAAGATTCACAACACATCCGCTGATTGCACGGTGCATTCCCTTGAGCTGCCTGCCAATCGCTGTATCCGGCGTTGCCCCGCTAGCTGGGAGCAGTGCACTGCCCTGCCAGCGAAGCAACCCTAAACCCTAAACGCCTAAACCCTAAACCCTAATGACCCATTTGCCCATCTTGGGTCTTCTGCGCCCTGATTTCGGCCACGTGGCAAACGCTTGATTGTACAGGCTTGCCGTTCTCATCGCGTAGCTTCAATGGGAACTCGTCCACTTTGGTGGATGAAAGAGTGCAGCCAGGCAGCCGAATCACAAAATGAAGCGCTTTTTCCTCATGTCGGCCCATCTACTCTCAGGCAGCTTCTGCTCATAATCCGTCGAAGTCTTTGGATCAGCAAGATCATACTCACGTTGGTGGATGCTCGTTGTCCAGGCCATCCGAAAAAGATTCTCCCTCACTGGGACGGTCTTCTCGTGATTGCCATCGGTAGCTGTGGTCCGATATGGTGCGATCCGATTCTACAGGAGACCAATTGTCTTGGTCCATTGCCCAGCTGCAGAAGCAAACTTGCTGCCTGGCTGCCAAGCATGACTGCTAGCCAGAGCAATGAGCAATGAGCCACCCGGGTTTGCGGTGGTATTGAAGCGTCAAAGCGCTACCCCAAGTACTAAGCAGTGGTCTAGGATTCAGGGATCCAGACTTCCTAATTTAAAGATCTTGGGCTTGGAGTGGATAGGAACGTCTAGAGTCTATGGTCCCGGGACTGCGGTATCACTCCGGCATAGTTCGGGCTTCAGCCCCGCGGCACCGAACCACCACTTGCAAAGCCAAAACTTAATTTGCAGGCGAGCTGCAAGGTTGACATTGTGCGGGTTGGGGCCCTGCGCGGCATGCCGCAGAAAGTCTAGCCCGATGAACTTGCAATTTTAAACCGGGAAGAACCGTTGCGATTGTCTCTCAGTGTTCGTAATGTATATAGAAGCAGCAGCGAAACCAGTCTTAACGGTCTTAATAGTCACTGGGTCTGTTCATGCCATAACTCGGATGAACAACAGCAACAGCAGCAGCAACAACAACAACTACTACTACTGCTACAGCCGTTGTGGTACAAAGGTCAGCACAGATAGCAGTCCAGTAGACGGTGACCGAATGCGATGTGGCATCATAACAGCACTGGTAACCCTGGCGGCTATACATCTTATAGTCCGGCACCATGGAGGAACAACTACAGAAACCAGGGATGGCGAGCGGGGAAAATTGCTTGGAACTCGCATCACCTCAACACTGTTGTGGACTACTCGGGGCACAACAAGTATGTATCCTGTGCATTTTGTGGGGACTGGAGGTGGATCAACAGATTGCACCACATGCATCGATGTTCATGTGGAGCACCATGGTCCCAGGATGCCTGGAACACTTTTTACGAGACCTACGGAACCTTGGCTCCTGCACAATCAACTCACAACCAGAAAGGAAAAGGCAGGCAGAATCGGCAACAACATGGATGGTTTGACGGCAAAGGAATCGGTTCACAAGAATATCCAGACTATGCATTCTCAGCAAATGGTCCAGATGCAAGACGGCGCCAGCCATCACCCCAACGTCAAGCGACAGATGTACATGATGCTCGCAGCCAAGAAGATGAGTCAGTTGAACTTCCCCCTCAAGTATGGCAAGTCTGGCAGGATCTCACCAATCATATTTTGGGTAGATTTGCTCCCAGTGATCAGTTCCGTGCCAGCGCGGAGAACTTCATGCAGAAATTTAGACCAAGGGTTGATCAGGCAGCCCAAGCACAGAAAGATCTACGCGAGGCGCAGTCCATGGTCCGACAGCTCGGAAATCGAAGACACATCTTACAACAACAACTTGACAAGGCCAAAGCACGGCAGGAGGAGTTGGAACAGAAGCTTGAAGAGTTGGATGAGGAGATTGCCGAGGCGGCAAAAGCACAGCATACAGCCACTACAGCGTACAGTGAATATGTACTCCGTTCCAAACTCTTGGACCCAGCTGTTCCGCAACTCCAAGATCTCTCACCTAGTGACATTGAGCTACTTGGCGACATACCCAAGCTTGAAGCCTTGTTGTCAGAAGTGGGATCTACTCTCAGCGAAAGCCAACGGCAACGGTTTGCACAGTTGTTGCAGGATTCAGAGTTCACCAATCTATATGCCAAGAGACGTAAGCAAGGCACCCAACCCAAAGAAGATCTTTGGGAGGAAGCAGGCATTGAAAACGACGAAGGGGGCATGGAACTACAGCAAGACAGACCGGATCAACCACTACCCGGCCTTTAGCATCGCATACAACACCAGTCACCGACAGTGGCAAAAATTTTCCGCTCTGACATCCAGCCAGCAGAGCTGGAATCAGGGCAAATCATCATCATCATCACTGGAGCCCCGCAGTACACGCGCTGCTGTATTTGCACCACACACTCCATCATTGACACCAGATGCAGGGTGGCAAGTGAGAGTCGTTTCACCTTACGCACATCTTGACAAGAAAATTTTAAACGCCATGAGGGAACCCACCAGTATAGAAGCACAGCCGGGTGATGTTTGCCATGAAACATTTTCCTTACTTTTCGCGAACATCACATCTTGGTCTCCCCATGCGCAAGAATTTTTCCGAAATGCGAGGCAGCAAGTGTTAATGCTGGCAGAACACAAGCAATTCGATGTGGAAGATATGGGTAGAGTGCTAACCAAATCTGGGTACCACACCGCTGCACAGGCCGCAATCATGAAGGATGCAGGGCCCAGCTGCGGAGTCGCGATTGCCACGAAATCTTACTTGAATAGCACCCCACATCCAGTAGGCAATGAGCGATGGCTTTCCAAGATCTTGAGGTTTAAAGGCTTTAGCATGGCTTTAGTGGTTGCTTATTTCCCGGTGGATGGCATACAACACAGTCAATACAAGCAACTGCAGTTGGAAATAGGCTCCTATCTGGGTTCATTAGACACTACCTGGATACTTGCCGCTGATTTCAATTGCCAGCCTGAGGAACTGGCCAGCACAGGATGGCCCAGGCGTATTGGCGGACAGATTGTGAGTCCAAACCAGCCTACTATTAGCACAGGCTCTGTTCTAGATTACGTTATAGTCGCCAGAACTTTAGAGGGAACAGTCAACGTATCAGTTGAACTTGCCGTACCGTGGAGGCCACATTACGGGTTGAACATTTCTTTCAAGGCCAGCGTACTTCGAACACCTATTCCCACACTCAGCAGTGTCAACCTCACAGTAGGCGTAGGACCACGAATGCCGTGGAATCGTTACGCGAGAAATTCGCCTAAGAATGCGTTGGAAGACGGCTACACACAATGGTGTTTGCAGGCTCAGCAGTACTTGGGTTGTACGGACACAGAGAAGGGGCCACTTTTAGGACACCGACCAGTGATTATCATGCAACCGCGCGTTGAAGCCAAGCACATGGACAATACGCACAAGGAAACGCATGTTTGGTACTGGGCTACCATTAACAGACTTGTTCGGGATTGGGACCGCTTAGACATTTCCAAACAGACACACAAAGAGCTGCTGCAACAGAAGCTGCAAGGTTTATCCACTAGGCTAGATGAGTTTTGGGGTGTCACTGAAACCGAATCTGACAATGTAGGAGAGAATTTCCCCGTGTTCTCGGACCCACACAACTTCAGCAGAAAAGGTATGCAAAAACTCTTGGGAAATTTGTGCTTGCCGGGAGAAGTTATTCGGAAGAACCTTCTGCACACTTTACAATTGCGGTTTCAGCACGCCATCAAACTAGCACACTTCACCAAGCGAGTGGAACTTGAAGCGAAGCTAGGAAGTCTAGGAGCTGCACACAAATTTCTGAAACGTGATGAAGTTTCATCCGCTCGACCTTTTACGCACCTGGACGTGGAGCGTCGACCCCAAGCCCGTCGAGAGTATTGGGTCGGGATATGGGGTGAAGTCATGCGTGATTGTTTTCCGAGTAAACGCTTGCAACATCTAGCTTTAGACCAGGCAGACAAGCTCAAACCCATCTCATCCAGTCAGATTAGGCACACTTTGCGACACATGAAAAGCAAAAAGGGTGGAGGAGATGGCTGGTCGCTTCAGGCCCTGAAAGCTCTCCCTGACGAGGCCTTTTCGGGTTTAAGCTGGTTGTTTCAAAGAGTGGAGCGGGGTCTTGATTGGCCATTAGGAGTGAAATATGTTGTTGTGGCCATGTTGCCGAAAAACCTTGAAACAGAAAGGCCAATCAGTTTGACGTCGTACATATACCGGTTGTACATGAAAATGCGCCAACATTTAGTCGACACCTGGGTTAAAGGCATCATGACTTGTTCACCTTGGGACGGGGCTGTGCCAGGAGGAAACGTGTTTGATCGAGTTTTAGGCCGCATGCTACGAAGTGGAGTTATGATTTATAGCTCTCAGTACCAAATCACGTTGTTGCTAGACATCAATAAGTTTTATGACAGTGTGGACCGAGAACGCCTCGTCGACGAAGCTCTAGAACTCGATTACCCCCCACTCGTGCTTTTACTGGCCATGTTAGTTCATGCTAGCCCCCGGACGCTCGTAGCAGAGGGACAAGCCTCAGACACCATCTCTCCACGTTACAGTATCTTACAGGGATGTCCGACCTCTGTAGCTCTAGCCAAGGCGTACCTTTTCCAGGCTCTTCGAACCCTTCATGACCTGTACCCGGATTTTGACATCTCGTCTTGGTTGGATGATTTAGCTTTCGACCGATGCGGATCGGATGCCCAGGCTCTGGTTACTGAAATCACCTCCCTGTATCTGAAATTGGTTAGGCTCCTCCACAGTTTAAACCTTACCATCAACACTCGTAAATCCGGCTTTCTATGTAGTCATGCCTCGTTGCGCAGGGCATTGAACACCCATTTCAAGCGTTTCTTTCCAGGAGTGTCCTTTCCAAAGCCTCTAGATTGTGTAAGAGACCTAGGTGTAGACAATAGTGGTGGAAGACTTCGCAGGTTGCCCACGGCCAAGCTGCGCATTACCAAGAGTCTAAGAAGAGCTGCCAACATGAAACACACCCCGAGGAAGCTCCGCAAAAATCTTATTCAGACCAACGTTCTAGCCAGTGGGCTCTGGGGTGTGCAAGGACTAGGCCTAGCTCCAAGTACACTTCACATGTATCGTGCGCGGATAGGCCGAGTGGGGGGCTTCGCCCACAAACTCGGATGCCTAACTACGGCGTGGAGATTGTTTAGCGACAAATCGGTAGACCCACTTCACAAAACCCTACTCCAACAGGTGAGTGGTTTCTTCGATACTGTAGCGTCCCTCCCGGCCAAGTGGATTGTTCACCTCCGTAGATCCTGGAGATTAGCTTACCAACGAATTGCCAGCAAGTCCAGACATTGGCATTACGCACGGGGCCCCATGACCAGTTTACTATGTAGACTGAGGGATTTGCAGTGGGAGGCACCAGATCTTGATGTATGGACGGACCCAACTGGTTCTCAACATACTCTGAACTTCGCGAATCCCCTTATGCAATCCCAGATGACCTTTCACCTGATTGAAACACAAGAAGCCTTACTGTGGCGAGCTTCCAGCCGGCATCCAGGAGGTAAAGGTTTAGAGAAAGGTGCAGATGTTAGTGTGGCATCGAAGCATTTACGTCAACTGCAGAACATAGGCCAGATACGTGCACTACATGCGCTAGTCCAGGGCAGTATCCCTTCAGCTGACAATCACTTGCTTGACGAGTGCCCTTTTTGCAAGCAATCCAACCCGACACTCCTACATCTACTATGGCAATGCCGTGAGCTAAACCAGATCCATGGAGAGCCCCCTGGCGAATGGGTTAGGCAAGCAGAATCCTGCACCCACCCCTGCTATTGGCTTCGTGGCATCGCTCCATCCTCGTGGACTCACTTAAAAGAAAGAACCCGCCTTAACCTGGAAACCAACACCACAGAAACCGGCATTTGGGTTAATGGGGCCGTTTTGCATGGTTATCGTTATGGAACGGATGGGAGTGGAGGTCGCAATAACTCCGATAAACGTTGCAGGCTATGTAGCTGGGGGATCTCGGCCGTTGCTCTTAGTCATGACGGCACATGGGAATGTGTGGGTACGCGGGCAGGTTTTCTGGAAGGCCCCAAACAAACAGTGCCACGTGCAGAGTTGCGAGCTCTGGTTGAGCTGATATGCAGCACGCAAGGTGAAGTTCATTTCAGCTGTGATTCGTTAGTAACGGTGAAGAACCTAAAACGCCTCTTGCACAGTCGGAAAATCAAACACAAAACATTACATGCCGATCTTTGGTTGAAAGTTGTTAGCAGTCTTGAAAGGCAGATCCACCCGATGTGGGTCAAGTCGCATGTTGATAGGAAGTCGTTTGAAGAACTCTTCGGTGATCAATCAGATTGGGCCTTTGTCTCCAACCAGCATGCGGACAGCGCTGCCGGAGAGAGAGCGAAGTGGCTGGATAAGCAGGCTACGTATGCCACATATCATGATATAAACCGACTGATTGATCAGAAATTGTTTCGAATTCAACAACACTTGCTTCCTCGCATTGCTGGCATCCTGTCGGCCATTCCACATCACGCCAATCTTTTTGGGCCGCGCCCGGCAACTAGACAACAGTTTCTAGATCTTCTGCGAACCACACACCCATGGCATCATTGGCAGTTTGGCAATCGCCAAGCTTGGTGCCTAAACTGTGGCACTCGTCTAGCTTCTAGATTCAAACTTGATAGGATCAAACTCCTAGCGGGGCGACCTTGCCCGAAATCCTGTGTGGATTTAGTTTCCCTCGGTGTGCATTGGACGCATGATTTCTGTTTTTACGGTTTAGCGCAGGGTTGGCGGTGTCGTTGTGGGCTTACACTGAAAATGCATGCGAGGGAGGCGAGTTGGGTTCGGTGTGCCAGGAGCTGTAAAGCTCATCGATAGTAGCAACCTTTCAGTATCAGCTTCGCTGTGTTTTCCGTCAAAAAAAAATACTACTGCTACCGCTGCTATCGCACCGGCCCCGCTACCGCTCTGGCCTTGCCCCTGCTGCTGTTACTCCTACTAGCTCCACCGGCCTCGAAATCGTCTGTGCACAACTGGTTGCCAGGGTCTGGCCTGGGCAGTCACAGATCGCCGAGCTTAGGACCTGCAACCAGCCTGCCTGCATGGAGACAAGGTCTAGCCAGAGGCCCCAGCTGGGTAGTTGAAGCGCGCACCGGATAGGGTGGATCTTCATTTGTGACACTGGTAAGGATCCGTTACGAGCACCTATTCAACCCTCTGTCCTGCTGCAACATGAAGCTACACTTTACAGGATCATGGGACTTAGAAACTAGGCTTATATTGAAGGTCACCATACACATAATTACTAATAACCCCACTTGAGGTACTTATAACCGTACTAACTAAGTCCCAGGACCCTCCAAGCACGCAGGGCCAGCGGCGAGAAGGCCTCCGACTTGGATCCCAGAAACAAATCGAAACCCAAAATCCCTGGAGCCGAGACCCGGCCCACGGCCCTCCTCGGAAGCCTGAGGCCTCAAGGAACCCAGAACCCTAAACCCTCAATCCTAAACACTAAACCCTAAACCCTCGATCCTAAACCCTAAACCCTCAATCCTAAACCCTAAACCCTCAATCCTAAACCCTAAACCCTCAATCCTAAACCCTAAACCCTCAATCCTAAACTCTAAACCGTAATCCCGCAGCAGTGCAGGGTAGGTCGAGAGGCAAAGATGCCACGAGGAAGTCGGCCCAGGTCTTCAAGAGCGGCCAGTAGCCTGATTGAGTTAGGGATTTAGGGTTTAGGCTTTAGGGTCTCGGTGGGTGCACTTCTTGAGGAATGGGGGGCGCACGGCCACTTATCACGCGCTTGCGTGAGCAGCGGGTTTTCTTGCTCTCTGCTTCCCCTCGCAGTTCGACACATGAGCGACCAGATTTCACAGCAAACCACAGTTACTGTGATGGATTGGTGTCGGGTGCTGGGACCTCGCGGCCTGTAGGCTTAAGGGTTAAGGGTTAAAGGGTTAAGGGCTTCAAGAGTGGCTAGGGCATGCTAGGGCTTCGAATCTTCGAATCTTCTCGACTTTCTTCGTAAGGGGTCTACAAAGGGTTTAGGATTTAGGGTATATATATATATATACATATGGGTAGTTGTCAAAATTATGGACCGTTTTGGGGTCCCTATCATACTACGGCACCTATTATTTAGGGTACCCAAAAGGGGGACCCTAATTTTGACAACCACCCATATGAGCCTTTAGAGGTTTTGTAGGTCGAGTAAGGGGCTTGGAGTTGAGGTTTTCCAAAACAGGTGGCAGTAAACCAGCATGGGTGCTTAGTTTAGGGGCCTGAAAAATTGAAATAAGCATGAATAAGCTATATTATACAAAATTATAACAGGGAACCCCCAAAAGAGTATGTTTAGGGGCCTGAAAAATTGAAATAAGCATGAATAAGCTATATTATACAAAATTATAACAGGGAACCCCCGAAAGAGTATAGGTCATTATGAAGGCCGCTGTATTAGTTTAGGGTAGTCCCCACAGACAGGCAGCTGCTCAACCATTCGAGGTTCCCCAACTTCTTGGACACGGCAGCGATCATGATGAGCATGTTGCCGCTCTCCTGGCGAACGGTTGTTCTTCAAAGAAGTACCTTTAAATCCTGGATTTCGTTAAGGGCCCTAAGCCATAGGACTTATGGCATATTCCTCATTATGGGTGATGCAGGATTTATATCATCAACCGTAGCAGGGTCCAAAAGGCTCCATGTATAGCGGCATGATGAAATTCTTTGCTGCAAATCTCTGGAGTGCTCTCTGAAAATGCCCAAGGTAACATGTCAGAAGCACCAGGAATGCCAATAAGGGCTCTATACATGACGACGCAGTGGCAAGAGCAGCGACACTCCCAAGCGCTAACTTAATGCTAGTCGTGGCCCCTTATAGTCTCTTATATTTAGTTCATGATCAATTAACTGATTCAGTGGTTCATTCATCACCAGCTCTCCAGGCCGCTAAAGTAGCGACCAGGTCACTCTTAAGCCTCTCTAAAGCCCCCTAAACCCTGGGATCCACCTCCACCGGCATCTGCTCTTGCTGATCGCTGCGCAAGGCACAGACGGGCCAAGTGCCGAGGTGGTGAGGCCTTGGCGTAGTAGAGAGGCACCGGATCATATGTACACGTAGTAATATTCACATACTTATCTATACAAAGCCTTGCTGGGTCGTTCTAAACTACATGGTTCCTCTTGCACTTAGCGTTTAGGCGGGATTCCGTCTACAGTAGTGCATCATGCAGCGTCTTCCACACTTTCTTGGAGCGCGGGGTTCAGGGTCCAAGGGTTCGGGAGAGTGACAGACTTTCTGACCCTTAAGTGCAAAACCCTAAGTCTCGAAAGCAAAGGCACGACCAACTGCACCGAGCCACGCCCAGGATAAGTTGTACTTGATGTCCATACCTGTAGATGAGCACGGTTTAGGGCAGTTCAGGGACAAAGACCGAATCATGATGCTGCTGGCGATGACAATGACCACGATGAACAAGATAATTGAGATTTCGGTATCACGTCGGGTCAAAGTACCGCCGCAACATTGTTGTTTACAAAGCCGCAGTGAAACCCAGAGCCAGAACAAGCTGAAATATGCAGCAGAGCCCTGGGCCCTGGGCTCATGGCGGATTTTGCTCAACACAGCCGGGGCGCCGTACGGCGCCGTGCCGTTCACGGAATAGACAAGCCTAGGTTTCATTTTTGCACGTGATCCAACTGACACGGCGGGCAAGGGCATCTTAACAGTGTTTCGGGGTTAGTGACAGCCGCGGAACAAAGGCAGCATCAGCTTGCGGAAGAATTCGGGAGCCAAATGCAGGAAGAAGGGGAAGGCGGGGAAGATGACCTCGGGCTTTCCGCAAAGTACGTCAACGACACCGCGGCCGATTCACGAGCTCAGTGGCGCGTGGTCTATGCCGGCAAGGGTGTAGTTTCGCCCGTGCGCAATTTCTCAGCTGTTGCTTCGCCTTTGGATGATAGACAAGGCGGGGATGCTATGCGGCCAAGCTTCATCCACGGTTGAGACGTCCCCGTCGGAAGAAATCTCCTGCGGCACCAGCATCAACAGCTGCTTGAAACCACAGTGAAAAAGACATGCACATAAGCGACGTCGGCGTTTGCTTGCCTGCCTTCATGAACGGCCACTCTTCGCCTCCGGATCAGGTCAAGCATTGCAAGGAGTTTCCTACGTTGCACACCAGCCGTCACAAGAGCCGAGTGTTCCCACGGAACAGCCCGGCCAAGCCGGCCTGCTTTGTGGTTCCACGCCGTCGAGGTGGCGCCGGTCACCTGCCAGAAAGTAAGGTCTATGCTTTGCGGTTATCGGTGCAACGGAGCACACGTGCAGTGCGCAGTGTGCCAAAAAGGGGCTGTGCAAGCATTCCTGGCCTGGCGGTATACCAGCGATCCCAACTGCGCGTACTTCTCACCCCCCCGGCTCTGCAACTGAGTCATGAGCTTCTGGTTGAAGTCCTCCCGCGGTTCAACTGCCATAACAAAGGATTCGGCAGGAGTACCAGTAGCCCAGTAGCAGTAGCAGCTGCAGTAGGAGTAGGAGTAGGAGTAGGAGTAGGAGTAGGAGTAGGAGTAGGAGTAGGAGTAGGCGTAGGAGTAGGAGTAGGGGTAGGGGTAGGGGTAGGGGTAGGGGTAGGGGTAGGGGTAGGGGTAGGGGTAGGGGTAGGGGTAGGGGTAGGGGTAGGGGTAGGGGCAGGGGCAGGGGTAGGGGTAGGGGTAGGGGTAGGGGTAGGAGTAGGAGTAGGAGTAGGAGTACGTTCCAGCGCATTTGTCTTTGTGCCAATGCACACTGCTTTGTTGCCCGGCTTGTTCCTATTACATAAAGCTTTCTTCCTACATCGGGTTTTCCGGTTAGATGGGGTCTCCTCATTAGATCAGGTTTTCCTATTAGATAGAGTTTTACGATTAGCTAGGGTTTTACTATTAGATAGGTTCTTCCCATTAGATAAGGTGTTACTGTTAGATAGGGTTTCCTTATCAGATAGGGTCTTCCTATTAGGGCCTTACCTATTGGATGGTTTTTCCTCTGACACAATGGTGAAAGGAGTTCTCTTTTAAAATGGCTTGGCTTGGCTTGGCTTGGCTTGATTGTGGGGTGCCTTTTCCACCGCCGGTCGTAGCAGTAGTAGTAGTCGTAGTAGTAGTAGTCGTCGTCGTCGTCGTCTCATCAGTCGTCCCGCCCACCCTCCTCTGCAGTAGCACAGTACTCCACTGCCTGCCCCTCCACAGTAGTACTAGTACTCCACCGCTTGCGCCTCTAAAGTAGAAGTTGTCGCCCGCCTGCTCTTCTAAAATAGTCCTAGTCGCCGGCCTGCTCCTCTGAAGTAGTAGTAGTAGTAGTAGTAGTAGTAGTAGTAGTAGTAGTAGTAGCCGCCACAAGTGCTCAAGCGGCCGCGCTGAATGAGAGGTTTCGAACAGGCTTGGGGCGCAACTGCTGTGCTAGAGGTTCCAACCGGGCCCTTTTCTGAACAGTAAAGGTTTGTGCCTCCTTCTACGCCATGGTCCTCTCCCTTTTCTCACAGGAGCTGCTTTGAGCCGCCAGGTCCCAATTCCTGGGCCCAGACTCTGTTTAAAACATTGCAACACTGGGTAGGCGGTAGGGTTTCCACCTCCGCGCGGTGGAGGGAGTCATTAGGCTTCTGTCTCTTGACGAAAGTAGCGGATGGCGCAATTGCCAGTGCACTCACAAAACTTTGCATCTCTTCGTAAGAATTCGTTCAAGACAGCATGTAGAAGGACAGTCCGTAGTGACGGGCCCGTACCATACCGAGGGCAGGTTCTGACACCTACCCTGGTTGATCGTCTGGGGGTGCGCCCCCCACCCACTCGAAGAGAGCTTCAGTCACAGACTGCTGACTCCCCTGCATATGGCACAGCCTCCCGCAGGGCAGGAAGGTTGGAAAGATCCATTCGAGTTCTTTCGTGGAACGCGGGCCACCTAGGCCAACAGCAATGGGGCGAACTCAAAACATGGCTAGCAGCTGAAGCCTCTCATCACTGCGACATCCTCATATTGCAGGAAACGCACTGGACTGAGACCAGTGAATTCAGCGTTTCTGGGTGGTACTGTATCTCCTCAGCCTCGGAGTCTACCAAACCCAACACCCGGCCTAAACAAGCAGCGAAGCGAAACACTCGGCAAGAACCGCGAGCTCCATCCACGACTCGCGCTGATGGAGTCATGATCCTATTCTCTCCCAAGTTCGTCCCCAAGAGCTTACGCTGGAAGGAGTGGAGCCCGGGTAGAGTCTTAGAAGCTCGTGCGGACATTGCAGGTACTCGGCTGGTTGTTGTCGCGGTGTACCAACACGCTTGGTCTTCTGCCAAGACCATCCAGTCCAATAAGGACGACCGTGCTAAGGTGCTATCTGTCATGTCCAAGGTGATCAAGCAGGTGCCTAAGAGGGACTCCCTTATTGTAGCAGGAGATTTTAACACCTCCCTGCGTCCGAGCTCTCCATTGGTGGGAACGCACGTGAAGCCACCCACTGAGGACCGCCCTGACGAATCCAACTTGTTCAATCTGCTGCTCAGGCTGCGTTTGGTTGCCCTTAACACCTGGCAATGTGACCATATAGCTACCTTCTCACAAGGAGGCGTGGAGTCGCAAATTGACTTCATTCTAACCAAAGAATCTACGGCGGGAGGCAAAGCCAAACGGTCAGCCCCTTGGGTGGACTGTCCGTTGGGCAGCTGGAAGAAAGGAGGGCATTACCCACTCAAGGCGGACGTACCCCTCCAACACCACTGGCTGCTCCCGTCCCACAAACCCAGCACGCGCCGGTATGATTCACTAGCTCTACAAGCCTCAGTCAGGGAGGAGGACGATACGGCCAAGGCCCTGCACAACTGGATCGCTTCCAGAATCGACACCTGCCAGGACCCCAAGGCATGGAATGCGTTGCTCTTAGAAGGTGCAGAACGCTTTTTCCCAAAAATTCCCAAAAGAAGACCGATCCCGCTGGAATCGGAAACCCGTCGCATGTGGCGGGCCCGCACCCATGACAGGGCTGCGAATACCACTCCCTCAGCACAGCTGATCGAGTCACCTAAAGCAATGGCACAGCCTCCTAATCAGAACACGCCACGTCCGCCGGAAACAGAAGCTGAGCTGGCACAAGTGGCACATCGCCAGGCTGTGAAACAAGCAAAGAAAGATCGAATTGCGAGCTTCATATCGGAGGTGGATGCGTGTCTAGCTGAAGGTGATCAACATATCTCCTTCCAGACCCTCAAAAAGCTGCAGCCTTGGCAGCCCGCGCGCAGAGCTCAGCTAAAGGACAACACAGGACATCTCCTAGGTCCAGCGCAGGAACTAGCAGCCCTCAGAGACTATGCCAATCAGGTATTTGCGGCCCACCCTCCGTTACGGACAATGCATGGAGCTTTCCCTGCTTTGGAGCCACCCAAACTAGCAGCTCACATACATTCCATCAAGCCGAACAAAGCTGTTCCTGACGGAGCGGCACCAGCGGCTGTATGGAGGCTGTGTAGCGATCTCGTTGCACCGGTCCTCTCCGAACACGTAGCATCCAAGCAGGCCGAGGACAGTCTAGAATCCGACCTCGTAGACGCAGATCTCTGTTTAATACCCAAGCCGGGCAAGCCCTCTGACAAACCCGCAAACCTGAGACCCCTGGGCATCCTTAGACCTGACGCAAAGGGACTGGCGGGAGCAGCCAGGGAAGCGCTTCAACCACTGACACTCTCGTTCCTCAAGCACATGCCACAGTTCGCTTATCTACCAGGTCGGGGGCTGTCAGACGCGCTAGAACGCGTGGTGCATCACTTGCGAGAGGCTCGATCCCTGTTAGAACAGGCTCACCCCACGAGACACGCCTTGCAACAAGGCACACAGGCCCCAGCCTTAGTCGGCGGCCTCACCTTTGCTCTTGACCTCAGCCAAGCGTTTGACACTGTCTCTCGCCAAGAGATCATCGACCTTCTTCAGAGAGAAGGGGCCGATCAGGACACAGTCCACCTTGTTCAGGCTCTACATGACGGGTCTCGTTATGTTCTTCACGCGCAGGGAGATTCCACCTCTGTTGAAACCACAGCAGGCATTAAACAAGGATGTAAGCTCGCCCCCACACTCTTCTCGTTCCTTACAGGTGACCTTTTCCGCTCTCTGGTCGACCTATTCGGTGCTGAACAGGTCTTGAAGTTCCTGACTGGCTATGCCGATGATCTCACGCTCCATCGGACAATCCGCTCTGACAAGGACCTCAGGGCCATTCATGCTCTCATCGCAGCGCTACTTGAAGAGGTCCGCAAACACCGCCTTCGCGTCAACATTAGCAAGTGCGTCATCTTAGTGAAGTTAGCGGGAAGAGAATCCCAAAACGTGATGAACAAACATGGCTGCTGGATCACCAACTCCAAGGGCGAGCAGGTTCGCGGATGGCGCATAGGGCCCAACAAATCGTTCCCCGCCTTCCAGTGGGTCTCCTGTAGCAAGTACCTGGGGGTTATGATCTCCTACAACCACTTCGAGCTGCAGTCCTTACATTACCGCATTGGGGAAGCCAAGCAAAAGCTGCATCAAGTCCGCCAGTTTGTCTACAATCGCCGGCACGCGAGCACCATGTCGAGACTTAAGGTTTGGCAAAGCACAGTCCTGAGCACACTGACTACAGGCCTCTCAGACGTCGGACTAAGCGAGGAGTCGGCCAAGCAGCTACGCAGTTGGCATGCTTACAAGGTGCGATCAGTGCTGAACTTGCCAGCACACACCAGCCGCATCACAACTAAGGACCTCTTCCAGCTTTATAGCATTCAGGACCCAGTTCAAGCGATGCAGGTCAAGCTCAGGAAGCGACTCCGCAAACTTGAGCGGCGTGCAGCCAGAAGCCCAGATATCACAACCGATCCTTCTGTCCTGCAAGTCATCCGGGACAAGCTGCATTTCATGTCACAGCTCCCTGAAACAGTTGAGCACCCTGTAGCCCTACATGCATGCACACTCTGCGATGCCTCCTTCGAGACAGCAAACGGGTTACACTTACACAAGTCGAGAGTGCATCCAGCCAGCATTGACCGATTTGTGCCATCAAGCTTCGATCGGCAACTCCACGCGGTGGATGGGATGCCGCAATGTGCCGCTTGCATGCGCAAATTTCATCAATGGAAAGGTCTACGTGACCACTTGTTGTCAGGAGCATGTCCGGAACCCCAGAAGCTTCGAACTCTGAACGTGACTGACAAACACTCAAGTCACCCTGAGGTAAGGACCCTGTCCCAGCTGCGACAGGACATTGCCCAACTCCCACAACATCGAATAGCGGTGATCTCAAAGACACCGGAGGCCCGGGTCCTGATCCATAGGTGCCTCACGTGTGACTTCTGGACTTTCGATCACACTAAAGTCAAGTCACACTTCCGTCAGGCGCATCCTAAGGACTGGTCAAGGCTGCACAAGCGCGCAGTCTCTATATGTCAGGGTTTCTCGCCTCACCTTG